TGTATCTAAAGCGCCTGGAGAAAAGTCTGAACGTTTAGGGTGAAAAAGGGTAGTGAAGTAAATATGTGTGCAAAAAAAACTGCCTAAGATCCTAAGCTTAGCTAATTTTATAACAAGAAAGGAAGGAAGGGAGGAAGGAAGGATGGACTGCATAAAGTAAAATATCAATCAGCATGAATTAAAAGAATAAATGGAATGAGATATCCAGCAAGCAGGTATTAATTACAATAGATCCACAATGTTGTGCAGCTATTAAAAATGTTGATTCAGAACTTTATGTACCCAGGAAAATATGCTCCTGATATATTGGTAAACAAACACAGTAGGCACAAAAGTGTACATACTCTGAAAATACACGATTGTTAGGTGCCATAGAGTCAGCTCCGACTCATAGTGACCTTATGTATAACAGAAGGAAATGTTGCCCAGTCCTGTCATCCTCACAATAGTTGCCATGTATAGTATGAATCTACTATATCCTACTTTAATAAAAGAATAAATATATACAAACATATTTAACATTTACAGAAAAAAATGTTAACAGTACGTAGTGAAATTACTGGTAATTTTTTTCATTCTGGCTTATTGTGTTTTGGAATTTTCTAAAATGAACATGTATTACTTGATTAATAAATAAGTTTAAAATAACAAAATGCAGGGATTTATTTCCTTAGAACATTTTGCCCTTTGTATAATAAACAACTAATCTCAGAAAGAATGTAAATGCATACATAACTACATAAACAAAGAAAGAAATAAAAGTGGGGTGAGCAAGAGGCTGTGAGTCACAAGCTGCAATGCAGGTCACCAGATTTTTTACCAAGGCGATTAGTTATAATGCCGAGTTTGGATACGAGGAAGGATAGCAGGTAAGAAAGTAAGGCTGAAGGAACACCAAGCATAAGTTAAATTCTTGATTCTTTAGATTTTTCCTTTGTTCATTTGTAAGCTCAGCAGAAAAACAGGTGGAACCTACACTCCTTTGACACTGTTTATAAATATATCAGATATGAATATTTAATTAAGGGCAAAATATGCTAAAATAAAGACGTGGTGATTAAAGTTAAGAGATTTAAAAAATAAAATCTTCCTGGTTGCTGAACTGGCAAAAGGTCTGTGACAGAAACGTTTACAACGATGACCAAAAAAAAGCTGCTGAGGCTTCCTATTAAGAAAACAAAAACAAAAAAATCTTCCTGGTAATAAGAATAATAAAACACTGGAATAAGGTCCATTCTGGAATCTCAGTCTTTAGAATGTTCTGCATGGATATCATTCTTCTGACTGAAGACAAGTGACTGGGACAGATGATCTGTCATAGATACTTTCAGCTCTGTGGTTTGTAACTCAACTATCCTGTTCAACATTACTAAAGAAATCATATGTCCAAAAATGAGCAGAACACTTTTGACTACCCCCGCCACTACCATCTCTCCTTCAACTCAAGACTTATTTATACAGCGGAAAAGAAGGACCCTTAGAGATACCTTGTTCTCAGCAGAATGAAAGGTACCACAGTAGACTAGAAGGCACCAGAGTTGGCACACAAAACTGACCAGATATAAGATCTAGAAATGATTCAATCAGAATCAAAATAGAAAATCTATACAGGCTACCCATCTTGTAAATGAACTGTACTATAAAACCTAAATAAGTCTACAGAAACGTCCTCTCCTATAGTGCTCTAAATTGTACTTAAGTTTCCAAGCAAGTAACACAACAGCTAAAGTATGGTATCACAGCAATTATATCACAGATCAAAATCACCACCTGATTTATGTTTTACAAAGAAACCATACCCTAAGATCAAATTTAGGATCCTATCTGTGGAGGTAATCTTCCCCTCACCAGTGTTAACATTTAAAGTGGACAGTGGGCAGAAGTAGTTATTTGGATCTTTCTTGTTATCCTCTAAGGAAAAGGAAGGAGAGGGTACTGAGTCCCAGAGGCAGAAATGGTGAAGCCATTGTCTTCAAAGCAGTAATGTAAAGGAAAAAAATGAGTAGACAGGCAGCAGTGAGCAGAGTACCAGACTGAAGAAACCAGCCTAAAATAAGGCACATCTGTGAAACATGAGTTTCAGAAAAAAAGCCTAACCTGTGCACCGAGTGCAAATTCAGACATGTCCAGGCATTTCTGGAGATTCTGTTAAGAGTTTATTTGTAGGTGGAACCAGGGAACATTACTGTATGAAATTAACCCTAAAAAAAAAAAAAAAAAAAATACAGAAGTATCAAGCTGCTTATAGAGAACACTTCAAAGAGACAAGTAATTAAAAATACACAAGTATTTGATATTTAAGTTATTCTCCAGTATTTCCCCCACGAGGATTATGCTATCCAATAAAATTAAATTTATGCTAGGATTATGGAAGAAAGAGCTATAATAAACAAATGGTATTATGAAAACATAAAACTGGGCACACGAGGCAGTATTTCTCAGACTGGCAATCTGAGTTACAAGCTGCCTGTATCATGAGCTATAGGATATAAGCTGCAAACTTGTAACCTATATTGCCATACAGGAGCTAGGAGCTAAGGGCTTCAATGAGTCATTCAAATGTTTTCGAGCAATGACTAGCTGCTAGGAATACTAGGTTGAACACTATGTTCCTAACCTCAAAGGCCATAAAGTCCTTGGGAACACATTTAAGATAACCCACAGGTACTTTCCAACTAGATGGGAAAGACTGAAAAATTAATTATTAATATCCCTATATACCTGAAAGCCCCCATCCCTGTCTCTGGCATAGTTTAAGAAAACACCAGTTATATGTGAAAGAAAGTGTTTATGAATTTGAGACTTCCAATAAAATTAAATTTATGGTTTTGTAATTTTATCAATAGGTTAAATTTCAACTGATATCTCATACTATACCAGTACTACATTAATATGATCAATATAACTGAAAAAATTATTAATTGATACAACTACATAACGCTCGTAATTTAGTCAGCCATAGACACCTTTCTAATATTCGTAAGTGTTTCAGTAAGAAAAAGACAAAAAGTGTGCTTTTTAAAAGTTTTTTTTAAGTTTCATTTTCTTGATTGATACAGGAAAAAAAAGTATACAAAAAGAAAAAAAAATCATCCATAATCTCTACTCAAAGATAACCACCTTGAACATTTTGGTGTCTTTTTGTTCAAGTCCATTTTCCATAAAAACATACAAGCTTTTGCTTTTTTTTCCAAAACAGGATCAATCAATATATAGTACATGCACTGCAACTTGATTTTCTTCCACCTAACAATGGCAATCTTTCCTTGTCATAAAATACACTTCTACAACATAACTCTTAATGGCTGTATATACTACAATTACAGTTAAACATAATTTATCGAACAACCCCTTATTTTTTTAACACATAACAACAAAAAACTGGAACCTTAAAAGCATTATAATGAGAAGCCTTATAGATTACATCTTCTGCACGCTTATCTGATTGTTTTCTTGAGATACCCAGAAGCAGACATACTGTTTTGCTATACATGTTTTATAGGCTTTTGATATTTATCGATAAACTCTTTTTGGAAGGTTGTATTAGTAATGAACAAAAAATCTTTTTCCCCAATCATACCTTGAAAATATTAAACCCATTGCTGTTGAGTCGATTTCGACTCATAGCAACCCTATAGCACAGAACAGAACTGCCCCATAGGGTTTCCAAGGAGTAGCTGGTGGATTCGAACTGCTGACCTCTTAGTTAGCAGCCAAATTACTTTCAATGTGACAGTAAATCTTCGCTCTTTGGAATAAGCTGTATAAAATACGATGGTAAAAATACAAAAAAAGTTTATAATGATGTTACACTTTGGTAACAAAATCAAATCCTGAAATAACACAATATAATCAATTTTTGAGAAGTTATACAAAAAATATTAAGGAAATCTTGTAAAATCATACAGATTGCAGAAGTGAAAAAATGATTTTTGACAAATATTAGGAAAATATTTTAGTATGGTTTAAAGACAGCTGGAGAAAGATGTGGCAGTTTGTTTCTGTAAAGATTTATGGCCTGGAAAACCCTATGGGGCAGAGTTCTACTCTGTCCTACAGGGCCACTATGTGTCAGAATTGACTTGACGGCAGTGGGTTTGGTTTTAAAGACATATATAACTTTGAAAAATGTAAACTGATAACGTCAAGGTAAAATTACTGTTTAGGAATACCTTCTATATATAACAATTGCAAAGATAATCAAGGAAGGCCACACCTATTAAGAAATGTATTGCTGTTATATTAAAAAAAATTGCTATTGTTCAACATTAATATCATTACTAACAATACTGCAAGGCCACCTTTCCTTTGGACAATAGCAACAAAGCCTTTACTTACTTTCACAAACTATCCTAGTGAAGAGCCAAGTTTATAGATTAGAAATATGTTGCCCTTACAAGCTTAAGTGACCTTCCCAAATTCAGTAAGAGTCAGTCTCCTGAATTCTAACCAATATCCGTTTCTATAAAGTCTTCATTTAATAAATATTTTAGAACAACTCTAGCAATTCAGATATTAGAAACAAATGTCCTGACAAAAACAGATAAAAAGGAATCAATGTGTTCAGCAACAGACTCTCCCTTTCCAATATTCTTAAGTGTTTCGCTAAGAAAAATACAAAAAGACTACTGAGATTTAAGAAAAAAAAAAAATTTATTGGGACAACTTTTTAGAAAACATGCATTTAATTACACCTATTAAATCTTCTTTAAATAAAGCCAGAAAATGTAACGTATAAAATAAAAAAAATTAAATTTCAACACTGAGCCAAAAACAAGCTTTGCTTTCTGTTCTGATTTAACATATTAATTTTTTTTTAATTTTTATATAATAAAAGAAATAATCTTTGGAACATTTTATTCATTTTTTGAAAAATACTGTACAATTAAAAGAGATCACAAATTCTTATTTAATATAAAATTAGTACAGAACAACCATATATCATTTGTTAAATGGGGGGCAGGAGGTTCAAATTTAAAAATCAAATAAAAAAGCATTACCTTCAAATAAACTGAGGTCTCTTCGTAGCCGTGGTCCATAAAGCCCTTCTAAAATACTCTCAAAACCTGTGTTTTTAAAGAAAAAAAAAAAGTCTATTAACCGCTGGAAAAGCTTAATTTTACAATAATCAAAAGCTGAAGTCTATAGCAATCAGCAAATTATAAATTTAATATACTATATGTTGTTTTCTTATTGCTAGGTGAATTAAGCTGAACGGTGTAATATACAACATAGTAAACAGTCATATATGACTATCAGAAATTACATCACTATAAATTAAAATATTCAAATGCAGGTATTCATTACTAAAATAACACCTCTGTCATTTAGAAATATTCCTGGGTTAAAATATCATGGGCAGATTTATTATTATTTTATAGAGAAAGGAAGAATAATTAGTAAAGACATGTTATAATCCTGTTTGTTACAAAAAATGTTAACTTTAAAAAATAGCATCTTTAACTTCAATTACAAAAAATGAGTAAATAGAAGTCAATGGTAAGAAATTCCCACCGTGAAAAGTATGATCTGTAAAACTTAAACGTACTTATAAAATTTAAACAGCCAATTGTTCATGGCTATTGTCTTGGTTACCTAGTGCTGCTATAACAGAAATACCACAAGTGAATGGCTTTAACAAAGAGAAGTTTATTCTCTCACAGTCCAATAGGCTGGAAGTCCGAACTCAGGGTGCCAGGTCCAGGGGATGGCTTTCTGTCTCTGTCAGCTCTGGAGGAAGGTCCTTGTCATCAATCTTCCCTTGGTCTGGGAGCATCTCAGCACAGGAACCTCAGGTCCAAAGGAGGCACTCTGCTCCTGGCACTGCTTTCTTGGTGGTATGAGGTTGCCATGTCTCTTTGCTTGCTCCTCTTTTATATCTCAAAAGAGACTGGCTTAAGACACTATCTAATCTTACAGATCTCATCAATATAACTGTCGCTAATCCATCTTATTACATCATAGTGATAGGACTTACAATGCACAGGGAAATCACATCAGATAACAAAATGGTAGACAATCATACAATACTGGGAATCATGACCTAGCCAAGTTGACAGATATTTTTGGGGGACAGATATGGACTGCCTTAATTTTTAAAGAAACAAATTACTGAAAATATTGTGAAATTAACAAAATCCCAATTCACGAATTTATCAATTATTCTATTTTCTGGATATAGTAATTTTAAGATTTTACAATTTTTTAAGTGTATAGCATACTCTATCATTTGTTTCATGGGGGCAGCTTATTGATAAGCTTATTGATAAGGCGACTGAAGAAAAGGACCAAGATGGCAAAATAATTCGGAAACAAGAAAAAGAGCTATCTTAAGCATGCGATATACAACATTTCTAACATTAAAACATTTCTAACATGTAATATTTCCAAATGAAACAACTAGGGAGGAAAAAAAAAAGGAAGATGGCATGACAGACCCAAAAAATGAAAGAAAAAGTAGATTTTTCAGTGGTATTCCTAAATTGTAAACCATTAGAAATGTTCCTTCAGAAATATTTCATAAATTATAAGATACTTTTAAAAAACATTTTAGCAACTCCAAAATCAAGATGCATCTAAAAATCAATTGTGTGTCATAGTCTAACTGGCAATATTTTTTCATTTGGTAGAACAAGAACTAATAATACATCTTACAGTTGCTGATGTATTAGACTTGACAAAAAGTAAGGTAATTATGGTACTTTGTAAATATGTCCTCAATAAATCTTTATGAAATGACTTAGCACTAACTGTGATAAGTAGAAATATCAGATAGTGAATGAACTACCAGTAGAGAGAGTTTTCCAAGAATGCTTTAGAAAACACTTTCATATTGAATAAAGTCAGACTAAATAAGCCCAAACTCTCCTTCTATAATTATGATATTCTAGTTTTACTTTGAGGTTCCTACCAAAAATCAAACCAAACCCACTGCCACCGAGTTGATTCTGACTCATAGCAAGGTTCCTAGATGGTGCAAAATGTATTGTACTGGACTACTAACCTAAAGGTTCGTGGTTCGAACCCACCCAGCAATACCACGAAAGACAGGCCTACCGATCTGCTTCCGATAAGATTACCCTATGGAGCACCTCTACTCTGTAACACAATGGGTCTCCATGAGTTGGAATCCATTTGATGGCAATTAGCAACAACAGTTTTATTTTGCTGTGATCAATGTTCTTCAGAAATATTATTGCAAGTTACTATTTTAGGATGTTATTACATGGTATATTTGAGAGAAAAAAAATGTATACAGCCTCTCCCTGAATTTAAACAATGCAGTGGATTTCAAGGAACAGATCTTCAATTTCTAGCACTGCTAAGAGAACTAAACTGAATTATGCAATATACAACATACTAAATAGTCGAAAACAAGCTTCACTTTCTGTTTTGACTTAGTATACTAAACTTTTTATAAGATTTAAGAAAATCTTACACAATTATACAGATACCAGAAGTAAAAAAAATCTATTATTTGGCAAAGATTTTGACTTAAGATTGTGAAGAAACATATTAAGCTGTTAAGTTTGGGAAAATCACTTAAAGCAGATCTTAAAATATGGGACCATCACCTGTTTATCAAAGGCTGTATATTAAGTATAGACCTCAAGCCAAAAACGCCAAATGATTAAAGTTGTAAGGAATCTAAATGAGGTATTAATCATGTTGGTCTGCCTTTTCAACATGATTTTGGTGGTTGAGAATGAGACTCAAAACAGTGGTAGAATCAGGATTGGCAATAACACTGGGTTGCAGAAAATGGCTTCAGAGGTGCTCAGTAAGACAGGTCCAAAAAAAAAAAAACCCAAACCTGCTGCCGTCAATTCCGACTCATAGCGGCTCTACAGGACAGAGTAGAACTGCCCCATAGAGTTTCCAAGGAGCACCTGGTGGATTCGAACTGCCATCCTTTTGGTTAGCAGCTGTAGCTCTTAACCACTATGCCACCAGAGTTTCCAAGATAGGTCCAGTATTCAAAAACCCTGGAGATCAGTGGTAATGGCAAGGTTTCCATCACCAGATGCAAATTTAGTAATATGGAGGTGATATCTAAAACATATAATATGATCAAGGTTTGCAGGAACCCAGCTACTGCAGAGAACCATGGTAAGTGATCAGACCTGAAAGGCAATTAGGACAGTAGTCTTAATGTGCTATAGAGACCTGTAGTCTCAGAGATAGGGAGAGAACAAAAAAATAAGTTGAAAGAAATAAATGGTATTGTTGATGCTCTCCATTATCTACTGTCAGCAAAAATTCAGGCATTTAACAATTTAATTTTTTGATCCAAAGACCTTTAAGTACAGAGATAATACTGTTTTCAGAATAGAACTGATGGTATTGAAGTCAAAATCTGAAATATTTTGGAAGATTATGATTGTTGTTGTTAGTGTTGGTTGCTATAAATTCTAATGGTAACTCTACCATTTATAAGGAAAAACAAAATTCTTAAAGCAAGTCTCCCCACTTACTCAGCCTGTCAAATTCCAAACAAAACCTGTCAGGATTTCATCAGGAACGCACTGAATCTATAACTCGCTTTAGTCAGAATGATATCTTTAGAATATCGAGTCTTCCAATACAGAATAGGGTACTGTCTTAGGCTGGGTTCTCTACAGAAGCAAAATCAGTAAAGCATATAAATATATATATAAAGAGATTCATATCAAGGAAATGGCTCACGTGGTTTAGAGGATAGAATGTCCCAGATCCGTATGTCAGGCTGCAGGCTTCTCCTGATTCACAGACTCGCAGGGGCTGGCAAACCCAAGATCAGCAGGTCAGACAGCAGGGCTCTTGCTCACAGGATGCGAAGACCAACAAGTCCCAAGATCGGCATGCAAGACCACAGGTAAGCTGCTAGCTCAAGTCCCAGGAACCGGAGGTCAGATGAACAGGAGCCAGCTGCAGGATCCAGAGCAAGCAAAAGCCCAAGAGCCTTGCCAGAGAGTCCACTTATATTCGATGCTGGTCACATGTCCAAGGAAACTCCCTTTCAACTGACTGGCTACTCACAGCAGATCCCACCATGAAGATGATCACATTACATCAAATCTCATCATGAAAGTGATCACATTATCATACAACTGCCAAACTACATCATAACTGCCAGACCACTGAGAATCATGGCCCAGCCAAGTTGATACACAACCTTAACCATCACAGTCCATCCCTTGTCAACTTGGCACCTGTACACATCTCCTTAAACCATACATAATCTCTGAATACAGATAATTATAAAGTCATACTTTTGCCTAACATGATACAACCAATACACATACAACCAAAAACACATGAGCCCTGCTTACATCTTCTATTTCATAAGTGAAAAAAATATTTGATACACACGTACAAAGCAGAAATACTCAACAATTACAGTCCTCATTTCTGCAACTGGTCACGTGGTTGTAACTGGTATTTAGAACTAACTTCTTCCACCACCCATTCCGTATTCCCTTTACCCTCATGTCATGGATTGAACTGTGTCCCCCAAAAATATCTGTCGACTTGGCTGGGTCATGATTCCCAGTATTGTATGACTGTGTACCATTTGTAATCTGATATGATTTCCTTATTAGTCATAAACTCTATCACTATGATGTAACAACATGGATTACCGGCAGTTATACTGATGAGGTCTACAAGATTAGACAGTGTCTTAAACCAATCTCTTTTGAGATATAAAAGAGAGAAGCAAGCAGAGACACATGGTAACCTCATACCACCAAGAAAGCAGTGCCGGGAGCAGAGCGCGTCCTTTGGACTTGAGGTTCCTGTACTGAGATGCTCCCAGACCAAGGGAAGACTGATGCATCACAAGGACCTTCCTCCAGAGCTGACAGAGAGAAAAGGCCTTCCCCTTGAGCTGATACCTTGAATTTGGACTTGCAGCCCACTAGACTGTGAGAGAATAAATTTCTCTTTGTTAACAGCTATCCACTTGTGGTATTTCTGTTACAGCAGCACTAGATGACTAAGACACCTCAGCAAGCACTTCAGCTGATAGTGGTTCTTTGCCTGGTGGGGTGACCCACACCTTCATTTCTGAAGAATCTGGGCCATT